CATGTTCAAAAGGGCAAAGCATCAGTTGCTTTTCACACAAGGCAAATCAATATTGGCACGAGTCTGAAGACATTTATTCAGCTTTATAATAGGGAAAATTGGATGGATGTGGTCTGATTTTTGCAGTTTAGGCAAGAAAGTCTGCCTCCTACGGATCTAAATGAAATTCAATTGCATATATGATCTCCAAGAGGACAATGTTCAGATGCTCTTTCAGTCCTCAGTAAACTTACTGGAGATGTAAGTATTGTTTCAATAAAATATGAATTATAAAATTCCCAAGAGAAATAAGAGACTGAATGAATTAATGATGCATTTTCATTTAATTCATTCAGAAATAAGAGACATAAAATGAGACAATATAGCAAAAATGTATAACAAAAGTGTTAAAAATAAATAACAAAATGATATGAATACAATAATTTTTTAATAAATGTAATTTTAAAACACAGAAATATATATTGATGAGAATTCGGTTGACAATTATTGATAAGTTTCCTGCTTCTGCAATTTTTCAGATCCTTCTGAGCACAGTTTGAGACATTATTGAGACCTCATTTGAAACAATGGCATGAGAATTAAGTAAATTATATATATATATATAGAAGAAAGAGCTTTATTGCCAAGTATGTTTGCACATACAAGGACCCCGTTGATTCTGCGTCGCGGTCCGCTCTGAACAGCTGAAAGCCCGGCAGATTTAACCGCGCTGGCGTATGGCGTCATTCAGCCAGGTTTCTGTGAAACACAGAGCAGCAGAGTGTGAAAAATCCTTATTTGTCCGGGAGAGCAGAAGAAGTTCGTCCGTTTTGTTGGGTAGAGAGCGGAGATTCGCCATATGGATGCTCGGCAACGGCGTTCTGAATCCGCGCTTCCTGAGCTTCACGAGCGCGCCGGCTCGCTTCCCCCGTCTGCGCGTCCTGAAGCGCTTGATCAGCGCAGCAGCTCCGCCGACTACAACGTTCAGCAAAACGTCCGAATAAACGAAATCCGGTCGAAGATTGTGTGGTGTGTTCTGCCGAATGGTCAGCAGCTCATCCCTGGTAAAACTGATCGTGTTTGAGAAACAAAAAACAGGAAAAACTAACAAAAACAGTACAAACACTGGAGAGCCAAACACTGAGGCTGCCGTCTGCGGCGCCATCGCATCGCATCGCATCGCATATATATATGGCTGAAGCATGAATCATTTAATTTATTTTAATTTTTACAGGAAAGAGATCATAAAGCAACATGCACATCATGATCAAAACATCTGATGAATCTCAACACTAGTTTTTAATTATTATTTTTTTTTAAACTCATTTCACTGGAAAAAACAGAAAAGCAAAAAAGGAAAGCTGAACCTCAGCACAAACTTTTCTGGTTTATATAATCTGATTTGTTAAAGTCCCTGACTTCATATTAAAATCTCAGACTTCTGAGAAATTATTGAGACCTCATTATGACTACATGAGTTTTTTTTAGGAAAATCTCAAGACGCAAGAAACTTATGAAAAAGTCTCAACTGGCTATCCATTTAAAATGAAAGAAGATATTACTAAAAATGTAATTAAAGAGACATCTTTGTCCTTTCTGGCCTGCTAAATAGATAAATGTATGTTAATATCTATCACATCTTTTCAAAGATGCATATTTCACATATGTGGATTTGTATTTTGAGCTATTTTTCCTATAATTCATATTTCTGTGTGATTGAACAGGAGTCCTGCTGAGAAAGGTTATGTAACTGTAATCACAGTATGAACACATAACCCGACTCCTACGGGGCCACAAATGGCTGTGCAGTCGATTTCAACTCGGAAGCAAGACACATTAAGAGCGTCCAGGGGAAACCAACGGTAAACACTTCAGTCTATTAAGGCTTATATTCCAGATAAAGCATTTATGGCTCAAATTTAAATTACATTACTATTTCACAAGTGTGTGTGTGTGTGTAACCTGTTGTGATCTTCAAACACAGCTGCCGTATTCTATCGGACTTTTACGGTGCCAGTGTCAGCAATTTTTTTTAGCGTGACTTCATTAGTGTTCATACTTATTCAAATGTAACATGTTGTAGCATATTTTACTGTTTGTGTTTGGCATATCTATTGATTTTGTACATATGGAATGATACATACAATATTAACATATGAACAGCTTCAAATTTTTACATATAACATTATTGTTAGATTAAAACATTTCAAGATGTAACATTCTGTATGAAGCCTCTGTTTAGGTTTATATTAGGGTTATTATCTTTTATATATATATATATATATATATATATATTATAAACGTTTTACTTTTATTTCATTTTATCTAGTTGGCAATGCAACATTTCTAATTAGTTGATGTACTGAAAGAACTAAAACTGAAATAAAAATTAATACAATGTTTAAGTGCGTTTATTACACTTTTGAATGAAACATCAATGCACAATACATTTAAAACAATTTAAGAAAGACATTTACTCATAAATTACAGTAAAAAAAAATAGCTTGATGTAAAATTTGTACAATTAAAACATTCATGCCAAGCAATGCCCAACTGATTCTTTTTTCTTGCTAAAGGCGTAATCTAAACCTAAACCGCAAAGCATCACTCTGAACATTGGGTCGCATTCATGAAACTCGAGCAGAATGAATATATTATGTGAATTTATTGGTGAAAATCTACTGCACAACATTTTATGCACAGACTGTTTTGCAAACAATTCTACAGACAAAAGACACGAATGTGTTTAAATGCTTTGTAAAACCACGCTTGCATAAACTGTAACAGAATGAAGAAAATTTACATAACTTGTTTTACGAACTATTTACGCAGAAAATCATTTCGCTTGTGTTTCATGAATGAGTCCCGCTGTTTGATTTCACTGAACAACATCATTTGATCGCAAACATAAACCCACAGGCTTGACACTTGGTGAAGGATATATTTACACAGCTAATTTACCAAACTTAACAATGTAAACAGTCTTATACGGTAGTGCGATAGCACTAATTTCCAGCAAAAAAGAGTGCAAATGTCAACACAAATCTTTCTCGCAAGGCTTAGAATGAGTGAAACCAATTGATCCTAACCAAATATTTTTTTCAAGCATTATACGACACGTACGGCATCTTTGTTTGACTATTTGCGATACTTTTACAAGTCAACATGAAAATCAAAATGGACTCAATTTACTTTCTTAAAGGAACAGTTTCACTGGAAAAATCAATGCTATGGATAGAGGACTTGTATTTTTTAATTTAAAGATGTCTTGATGTTTTTGGTTTTTTACAAACATACAGCTTTTTGTTTTTCAAGACATTAACTGATGGACTGGAGTGGTGTGGATTACTTGT